ACTCTGGAAAGTTTTGTTTTGGATGCAGGAAGTAATCTTATCCCACAACGTGAATCTCCAATCCAAGATGAATCATATCGACAGCAATTGATTGGTCTGCGTGGTATTTTGTGTGGATTATCTGATCTCAAAGCTCCTGGTGAGTAAAATCACATTTAACAAGAAACTGTAAGGTATATGTCAATCTTAGGTATAAATGATTTTCCTTATGATTTTGATGTTTGACCGTCTATTGAAGCAAATGTCACGGTTAATATTCAGTCGAAGGCGGTCAATGAATGGTATTGCACAGGTATATTTGAGGATGCTCAAATAATGAAGAGATAATATGGTTACAAAGTGCTTCTTTTCACAAAGATCCTGAAACAATATCACGTTCGCTATTTTTCTCTTAGGTTACTACGTGGCTGCGAGTATTTACATACAAATCGACTTATCAGAACAAGTTGATGCAACTGGATGGTCAGCTTGAATCGGTTATCACAGGATGCTCTCAGGGTATGTTCTCATACAGAACAGTTTTTCATATCAGCATATACATGTAATTAATTGAAAATGCAATGAATTACGTCGATGGCCATTTATTTCTCAATACCAATGGCTGTCTGTTCTACTGCCGAAATGAATTCGGCTTTTTGTGACCTTCTCTTTCTTCAGAGTCCTGAAAGTGAATTGAGTTTCATTAGTGTTAACCTAGGGAACGTCGGGAAGACCTTCGTGTTCGTACACAACACCTACGGGCAGACATTGCTGGTCAATACGTTGTTTTCAATCTTCCTTCGCAAAACGTACGCCATTTGGACAGTGCTCTATTTGGTCGAGCTCTTAGTTTCTGGGATAGCATAGTAATAGCTCATCATGAATTGCGAGGTACTAAACTGGAACGTCGAGAACGCATCGTATGTGATAAACAACCATCGATTGACTCTATGCGTAAGCATAACTTAATTCTGATATGCGTTTCCTGATTGCCAACAAGGATTAGTTTATTTTAGATAGCGTCTATCCGATTGTCACTCAGATGGATGTATCTAATCCACAAGCTGAAGCATTCTTATTAAATAGTGATATTCTAGAACAGAAGTGCTCTTGGGATTTTTTTCGCGACATTGGTCTTAATATGCACCGTAAATGGTGGAGTAAGTATTACATGCGTACACTTAGATCTTCTATAAAAAAAAGACTTTATTTAGCTTTTGATGGTGTTGGTGAAGTAATTGCTCATATTTTCTCTTTACATGTCATAGATGTTGTTTGTAAGATTCAACCATGGATTCATCCTTGGCTCGAAGATAAAAAAGAGCAAATGCGCAAGTATATAAAGAATGAATCGCCTTTCGATCAATAGAAAACAAATCCCGGCATCAGTCTGTTTATCTACGCACAACTGGCACGAGAGTTTGGTTGGGACAGTTACAAGGCTATCTTTCATCAATAGGAAGAAACTAATCCTACGCTGAATGATGATCAAGAAAATATAGATCACTGTATCAAAATCTTCTCACGTCAAGTGAACTGTAATTTGGTTCCACTGTTCAAAGTTTGGAGTTTTTCGATTCCACAATCAACTGTTGATGAGCTTAATGACCTGCAAAGTCAACCAATTATTCCACATTTGACTTTAACTTCAAGTACATTTTCGGGATTTTCTCAGTCATATATTGATCATATGAATATGTTAAATTATCCCTTGAACGAGATAAGACACGTATCTGAAACTAAGCTCCTTTGCATATAAGTTCAGCAAGAATCAGAAGTGCTTCGAAGTGCATTTGGTAGTCCCAGTTTCAGGCTATATTTGTACCCGAAAGTCAATTTGCTAATGCATTATTTTAGAGAACTTCAAGGGTATGATATAGTCCGACTAAAAGTGCATAACGATGATACCATACTCTTTCAGATCAACTTTCAATATGTAACATTAGGAGAAGTCAGCTTTTATTATAGCTGGTTAGTTAGCATTTTTCATGGGCTACAAAACCGTATAATTTTTAAGATTCCCTAGACTGAAAGGCTAGGGTCTAGAAACCGAAATTCACCTGTGTCTGTCTGTCTGTCTGTCGGTAACGCGGTCAAAATGGCCATTTTTTTGGCACATGTGACCATTTTTTTGGCACAAACGACCATTTTTTTGGCACAAGCGACCATTTTCGTGGCACAAACGGCCATTTTTTTACTAAAATTAACTAGGTAACTATGGTACAAATGAGCATGTAACTATGGCACAAACGATCATTTTTTTGGTACAAACGACCACGTAACTATGGCACAGGTGACTATATAGCAACCATGGTACAAACAACTATACCGGTAACTATGGCACAGGTGACCATATAGCAACCATGGTACAAACAACTATTCCGGTAACTATG